GCGTAGGTGGCGCTGCCGATGCTATTATTAGTGAGGAAGAAGACACTGTATTGAAATTTGCACACTTGGGGGATGAAGAGGCAGATCGTGGCATAGGGGACCTACGATTTCGAGTTGTCGCTTCAGAAGTTTTGTAAAACTTAGAGCATACTTCAACACCTTCGGGGTTGAGAGTTGAATCAATGCTATTCTGTGGGGTCTCGCTTTCATTTATAATTCCGTTCGATGGTTTCGTCTGAGAATTCATCGGCGGTAGAGCCCCTGCCGGACCGGAAGATTCTGCGTCTGATGATTCTTGGGGTAGATATAGGGTGGGAGTTTAGTTATTTTGAAAGCAATTGAGAAAATAATCGGAGGATTCTCTGCTGTATTTGTTCTTTGGAGTAGAACTTGGAGTGTCGGAGATTCGGGTTGTATCCATGGGGGCAGACACCTGGTTGGTTGGTTGGTTGCTTTAAGTGGATTGTCACTCAGGTGACAAGCAATTAGCAAGTTTCCCATTTTGATTCCACAACTACGGCAGCCTACAGCCATTTGGCGGCTTTAATAAATTTCAGTACGTCATACAGAGAGAGGCAGCTGCACTCTGAAATATTCTGCAGGAATTGTTTGCCGAGTGTATTTAGCCTCATCCTTGCGAGGGCTAGACACTCGCACAGCAAGTGTTCGACTGTCTCTTTTGAGCCCGGGTCATCGCAGCTGCGACAGAACCTATTGAAGGGCAGTCCTATCCTATCCGGCATGTACCCCAACGGGCTAGTGCCCTGTGCACACTGCAGTAAGTTTGTAGGCATTTGTTTTGCTCATTCCTAAGAGAGCTTTGGATTTGAGTGGGTCGTAGGACACCCAGAACTGCCGGGAAATTATGTAGGATCCTGTGCAGTTCCACCTCTGCCTGGCCTTCGAATGATAAAATTCGGTAATTTTTGTCTTAATCTCCCTGAGCGAGGCGCCCATGTCCACCGCGTGGGACATATCCAGTGCGGAGCCGCTCCTTGCTAGTTCGTCCGCTGCCTCGTTTCCGTAGATGCTCCTATGTCCCGGGACCCATATTAGGGTAATTTCGTATTGATCAGAGAGAGATCTCTCCTACATTCATCTACTAGCTGAGATCTAACAGAGTTAGAGGAAAGTGCCTGAATAGCCGCTTGGCTATCCGAGAGGAATTTCACTTGCGCTCTCGCGGGTACATTGTCTTTAATGTACCTTACTGCCTCCTTAATAGCAAACGTTTTGGCCTGGAAGACGCTTGCATAGTCTGGTAGGCGGAAGGATAATTTTAGGTTATATTGCTCAATGAAGACCCCACACCAACCCCGCATTCCATCTTTGACCCATCCGTAAAGACAGTTAAGCCCTGCAAGTACCCGAAATCTTCCTGATTCCAGTCACTGCGGCTTGGGAATTTCGTGCGGGGTTTGTGGTGAACCCAGGTCTTCGACAGGATATAGGCAGTGGGCAGCGCTTTAATTTCAGATGGTATTGCGTCTAGGATGGAACCGTGTCTAGGATGGAACCGTGCCCGAACGGTCTTTCCTTCCAGAGCCCCAGGGCACGCATTCTGATGGCGCTGTTAGCAGCTGAATTCTCGATGAAGATATCTATAGGTACGGTGACCATAAATATTCACTCAAAATGAAGGACAATTTTTCAAAAATATGCCTACATATATTTACGTACTATAATAATATCAAAAGAGTATTTATGATTCAAAATTCTTAATACATTTTAAGCTTTGAAAATGAATCACGTTTTCTTCATCNATTTGAGTGGGTCGTAGGACACCCAGAACTGCCGGGAAATTATGTAGGATCCTGTGCAGTTCCACCTCTGCCTGGCCTTCGAATGATAAAATTCGGTAATTTTTGTCTTAATCTCCCTGAGCGAGGCGCCCATGTCCACCGCGTGGGACATATCCAGTGCGGAGCCGCTCCTTGCTAGTTNAATCAAAAATCGACGTCATGAATCGACGTGAACGACGACTTACAAAGGTATTTATGTGCCCTTTACAAAAATATATAATTTGTGCAGATTGCGCTGCATAGCATCTACATTTCTAATCCGAGTTTCATTATCTTTGGCTCAAAATTTACTGTAATGATATATCTTCTTTATCGAATTTTTAAACTAATAAAAAAAATTATCGAATAAAACTGCGTATCTGATTGAAAATCTCACTTTTTCGACTTTGACGACAAAATGCAAATGGTCGCCTGTAGCACTAATAATTTTCATTGAAGTTGCCACAAGTTATATATTTTGGTAAGAGGCACATCAATACCTTTCGAGCTGTAAGTCGCTTACTTTGATTGGGGATTTTGAGATATTGAAGAAAAGCTACAAAAGTACCAAAAAACACTTTTTTGAAAAAATCCATCCTTTGTCCGATAATTTTAAAATAACGATTAAAATGCGGGACAAATGCAGGACACCAGGAAAAAATCAGTACATTTTCAGGTTTTTCAGGTTTGAAAAACTACGCAGGACCGACCTTTGAAAAACAGTACGGTCCTGCAAAAAACAGAACGGATGGTCACCAGATCTATAGGTAATAAGTCAAGAAGGACGTTCAAAACGTCCTTCGGACAGGATCTCATTGCGCCTGTTACGCTAGCGGCTGCTGACCTTTGAATTCCGCCTAGATTTTTAACTACGTAATCCTTAGTAAGGGCTGGCCACCAGACCAGCGCCCCATAAGAGATTATGGGTCGGACTATAGCTGTGTACATCCAGTGCACAATTCTTGGTTTCAAACCCCATCTGTTGCCCAACATTCTCTTGGCCGCATAGAGAGCCACTGTGGCCTTCCTAGCACGCTCCTCAATGTTTGGTTTCCAGTTAAGTTTGGGATCCAAAATAATTCCAAGGTATTTCACCTTCATTGAGGGATCCAGTTCCGTTCCTCGGAACCTTGGTTTATTAAAATTTGGTAATTTTGTTTTATTCGTGAAAAGCATAAGGTCAGTTTTCTCCGCGTTTACGCTAAGAGAACAGCTTATGGCCCAGGAATCTACTATCTTTAAAGTCCTTTATTTAAGTCCATAGTTTCACTTATGACCGAAGGAAACTGACCCGATACCAGTATCGCTACATCATCGGCGTAAGCCGCCGCTTTGATTCTCTGAGAATCTAGCTTTACCAGTAGTTTGTTTAAGACCATGAGCCCTAGTAACGGTGATAGCACTTCTCCCTGTGGGGTGCCTCTCACTGCATATACGGCCCTGCTTTGGTACCCCAGTTCGGCATGTATTACTCTGCTCCTTAGCAGAGACACTATCCAAGCCCGGACACAGTGATCAATCCTTGTTTCCATAAGTGCCTCATGGATGGAATCTACACTGACATTATTAAAGGCCCCATCGATGTCTATAAAGGACGCCATTGTAAATTGTTTATAGTAGAGCGAACTCTCAATTGTACGTACCACTTCATGTAGGGCAGTCTCCGTTGACTTCCCTTTCAAGTACGCATGTTGAGAGCATGATAAATTGGACGTCTTGTCCCTAACATACAGATCCAACAGCCTCTCAAACGTCTTGAGCACGAAGGACATTAGGCTTATTGGTCGGAAATCTTTAGCATTGTCATGACCCCGTTTTCCCGCTTTAGGAATAAAAATTACCTTAATCTTCCTCCAGGTTAACGGAACGTGGTTCAGTATTAGGTACCCTCTAACAATTGTTTCTAGGACTGGAATGACCATCTCAGAAGCTTTCTGAAGCATGACTGGTAGTATTCCGTCCATACCCGGTGATTTATAGGGTGAGAAGCTGAAGATAGCAAATTTTATCTTTTCCCTCTCTAGTAGCTCCTCTAAGAGGTCTTCGGAGAGGGTTGGTATATGGTCTGGGGCATCGGTTTCCACTACATCGATTTTGCACCCTGGAAAATGTGTATTCAGAAGGATATCCAGCGACTCCCCAGCCGACTCGGTCCATGAACCATCTGACCTTTTTATATATGTTGGCTGTGAGTGCCCTTTGGCAAGGATTTTGCTTAATCTCGCAGATTCCTTGGTATCCTCGATGGATTCGCAGAATTCCCTCCAGGACGCCTCCTTGGCGTCCCGTATCGCTTTTTTGTATTTCTTTAGGTTCTCTCTGTATAGGTCCCATACCTTAATCCTGTAGCATTCGTTGAAGGATTTTCTTACTTGCTTCCGTAGCGCTGTAAGGTTCTCATTCCACCAAGGTGTGCGCGCTTTCTTGCCATACCTCAGCGGACAAGCCTTCGTAAGGGCCTTTCCGAAGGCCTTATTCAGGCTGTCCGCTTTGGCGTCCAGCTCGCCTCTTGTAGGAATGTCTTCAACTGGTAGTTTCTTCAATTCTTTTCCAATAACCTTTTGAAATAAGTCCCAATCTGTTTTACGAGGGTTTCTAAAGGGAGTAGGCGTATCCGCCGCAATATTTAGCTCAAAGAGTATTCGACGGTGGTCCGAGAGGGTCTCTTCGTCGGATACTCTCCATTTATTGACCTTTAGGCTCCCCTCGGTCAGCAGAGTTAGGTCTAGGACCTCTTCCCAACCGCAAAAATCAGAGGTACTAGGAAATATGAAGGTGGGAGTACTACCTCTATTACAAATCCTAAACGTAGAATCAATAATAAATTGAAATAGCGACTCACCTCTTTCGTTGGTTTCCGAGCTGCCCCATAATGTATGCCGTGAATTGGCATCGCAGCCGAGTAACACTGGACTAGCTCCTGCTAGCCTTTGTAAAGTGACGACTTCCTGTGGCGGACACGGCCTGTCGTGCGCCATGTATACGGATGATATAAGACAGCTTTGTTTATTCATCAACTCCAAGTTGACGACTGTAGTATCCGGTGAGCTGAAATTGGAACATAAGAAAGCTTTAATATGTTTTTTAACCAATACACACGCGCGGGGTTTACCTGATATACTAGTGTAGAAGAGGTTATAGCGGGCGTCGGTGAGTCCCTTAACCTCTAGGTCCCTTACCCAAGGTTCCTGTATCAACGAGATGTCGATGTCTTCCTCCCTTAGGAAGACCAGGAGCTTGTCCGAGGCAGCCTTAGAGTGCCTAAGATTTGCCTGGACCACCTTCATCGACTTTCTCGGCATTGTTAACTGGCCCTGTGCCTGCCAGCACCTGGTTGGCATCTTCAGCGACCTCTTCGTCCGCGGTAACCTTGAGGTTCATATCGCCCAACATCTGGTTGGCATCCTCGATATCAGCCTCTGGAATCGGCTCATTGGAGCGGAATATTTTTAGTTTCGCTGTTCTCACCCCGAAGAGCAGCTTGTTGTCCATTTTTTGCAATGGCCCAATACTTTCTTCGTTAAGCCTCAGAAGGTACGAAGAACTCTGCGCGCCCTCTAGAGGCTTTTCTGCACGAATGACTACCCAGTCACTCATGGGTATTTCTGGATTCTGCCGTTGCAGGAAGCGGATCAACTTGTCGCTATCCATAGCCATCTTCGGCAGCCAAATGCGGGCCCTGGGTTTCCTAGGTACCTCCTCGGCAGGGATTAGTTTGAACTTCAAACCCTCCCAGGCGTTGCCGAGCTCGGCTACGCACTTGCCGAGGAATTCCCTAGAGAACTCATCTCTACATTTGAAAATCCGGCAACCCCTCAGGGACTCACTGGAGTCAAATCCTGGAATAGGGTTGTCCGGATTTTCAAACAGGTAGTCGCCCACCCGTTCAGAGAGTTTTGACTCGATCTCGACCCACCTCTCCTGAACGGGCTTACCGCTGCCTGTGGCTTCGTCGACAAGCGCGACCTGAAGGTGATCCCTGGCCACCTCACAGTACCGTCGTTTCGCCAACGTTTCTTCTTGCTGGGGCGTGCTTTTTGTGTCCGCCCTTTTTCCAGCTGGTTCTGTTGTAGACTCCTCCTTAGGTCTACTTCGTTTGACTGCCACAGGCTTCTTGGTTGGTTTTGAAGTAAGGTACCTCCTGTACTCCTCCACCACTTCATTGCACCTGCGACTGTCTTCTTCATCCTTGGGGTGTACAGTACCGGCCGCTGCATTCTTGGCAATCTTGTCAAGAATGAAGACAGCCCTGTTGTACCTCGACCTGAGCGCCACCCCCGAGGACTTGGTTTTCCTCCTTTCTTGCTTTGGAGTGCTCCCTGGAGCACTCAACGCTGCCTTTGAGGAAGATGGGGTATTGTCGGGATCGCTAGGCTTAGCGCTCACCGGTATTGTTGTCGAAGAGCGTGCAGAGTCCTGACTGGAAGCGAGGAGCACGTCCTCCTCTGCGCTCAGGATGTCTTCCGAGACATCTCTCCTCTCTTCGAATTTTGTGTTTGTGTTTTGTTTTTTGTTTTTATTATTGTTTTTGTTGACACCTGGTTAGTGGACTGTATATTTGGTTTGCCTTCATTGGGGGCTGAAGGTTTTGTTGGCTTGAGGGTCAAATTTGGAATTCGGGGGCCTGCTGAGTTGGTAGAGAGGAACACTAAGGCTTTCTCCATTTCAGCTTTGCATTTATAATATTGAGTCGAGCAGTTTGCAAAGGTTGGGGTTACTGAACTACGTACTAATGTAAAACAGCGTGAATGGGAAAGTTGTTGAAATGAGGTCACCACGCTTTCCCAGTTTTGGTCCAAGAGTTGCAGTTTTACTTTTAACAGCGACACTGAGAGGTTCGCTGTTGAGGTGGAAGACCATCTTTGGCACAGTAAATCGAATTTGTGGCTTTCGGAATTAAAATCATGATGGGATGCATTTGTTGCGGGCGTGCAATGAGAAAATTCGGAAATTACTTCTATTTTTATTTAATATTTTATATGGGCTTGCGAAATTATACTATAAAATGAAATTTGATTTGTTTACTAAATTTTTTTCTTTGAATTAATTTGCGTGGATGTAATTTTGTTTATGTAAGTTTAGTTATTTGTTACCACTGTGAGGTATTCCCATAGTTTGACTAACTTAAGCCACTGTATTATCTTCGCGCATTCGAGTGCAGTACTTATGTGTGTATGGGTCTATGTGCATGCACCGTACATGAGTTACTTGGTAGAATGAGTGCAGCAAAGGGGAATAGGGAAGAGCAAAATATAAACGTACATATGTACCTCGTTTATACGAAGGTTTGAATGAAACCACATCAACTGAATGCGATTTCCAGTATAGTGTTTATACCATGCATTTCAAAGCGGATTATGTGGCAACGCTACTGAAATGGATTGAAGTCAGCTGTTAACTTGTCAGCTGTTAACAAAAGTACTATTAATAAAATGGAAAATACAAAAGTGGAATTCTTTTTCTTAAATCTTCTGGAATATTTAAAAAAAAAGAAGAAATAATTTATACTGCTCACTTTTATCGTCTCATGAAGAGCTTTTAATAAATATTGCCAGACAAAGGAGAACGACAATAAGAAAAATGTGCACCATGCAACGCGAAGTTCCATTGAACTTTTTTACGGTAAACGCCCCAAGATTCCGATAAATACACAGGCGCCCACGCGCCGTTGAAAGCTACTGGTGGACCCTAAAACAGCCAGGTAACGAACATCTTTACTTTAAGTCCTTCCGAATGCGGTCCGCATCGTTCCTTGTTTTGTGCGAAAAACTAAGGCCGCATCTTCAATCATCTGAAATAACTGTAACAGCTCCTTTGCCAACAGAAGTGCAGGTTGCAATTTGTTTATACAAATTAGCTTCTTGCTCTGAATATAGAGTTGTTGGAGACGTATTTGGGGTTCACAAGAGTACAGTCCACAAGTATTTTCATATTATCGTAGAAGCCATACTACGGCTGCAACTCGATTTTATAAAATTTCCACAATTGGACGAAGCGGTAATGATAGCAAGAGGATTCCAAAAAATATGTAAAATTCCAAATATAATCGGAGCGATTGACGGTATGTTGTATGTTTAATTATTATAAATATGCAAATATAACTATATATAACATACTATAGAAAATTTTTCAACACAAGTCAAGCAAATAGTTGCGAAAAAGCAATGGTTAATAATAGAAACCCCCAACTTTTACATCGTAGGTACACATATTCCAGTTTTACCACCCATTGAAGGCTATTTAGACTACGTAAACAGAGAGGGTTGGCCATCTATTGTGATGCAAGCTGTTGTGGATCATAAATACATGTAAGGTTAACGGTTTTAACAAAGGATTCAAATAACTTTCCGCTTTTCCAGGTTCCGGGATATTAGTGTCAAACTTCCTGGAAGTGCACCTGACGCGACTGTCCGGTCTTTTCAGAAACTCCGCACAACTAATTCCTCAATACTCCACCACAATTGAAGGCATAGAAATTCCGCTCATGTTAGTTGGAGACCCCGCATATTCACTACTACCATGGCTTATAAAACCTTTTACTGGAAATTTAAGCCCTGAGGAGGAATCTTTTAATTGTAATTTCAGTTCAGGACGCATTGTTGTAGGGAACGCTTTTGGAAGGCTTAAGGGTAGATGGAGGTGCTTATTGAAACGCATTGTTGTTGATCCCAATTTTGTACCTTCGGTTGTGTTGGCTTGTGCAATTTTGCACAACTTCGCTGAACAACAAAAATAAATTTTCTTGGATGCCTGGGCTCATAATGTTGAAAATGATGTCGAATTTCAGCAGCCGCGTGATCAATATTCATTCGAAATAATTTCTGAGGGCAATATTGACCCAAAATGTGTGCGAAACAATTTTAAGAACTATTTAGCAAGAACATATCCCTTGAGAAAACCACATATTTAATACAGAACTCTAGACATTTTTTTAGTCGTTAAAAACTTTACGATGTACGACAATACGACACTTACGACACCTTGTGAACCACCTAATTGTTTTCGTTATAGATTGAACTATGAATACTCTCATACAAAAACGAAAAGGATTTACCAAAAGAAAAACGTTGTTTGTATTGTTAAAATCACTGTACACGGACACATACATATGCACATGTACATGTCTTATATTTTTGTAATACAAACGGATTGACAATGAACTGAAATAAACGAATTTAAACAAGCTCCAATGCTTGAATAATATAGTAAAAGAAATAAAAAGATACCAAGTTCATAGCTTTCTAATGGTCTGATTGTGCATACTTCGCACAACTTCGCATAAACTTCAAACTGTAATTTCGTATGTACTTTGAATGTGTTGCATTACCCAGAAATTAGCAGAACTTTTAAAAACTTAGCGGTCTGTTGAGTTTAAATTGTGCTGAGCATTTTCTAAAGTTACATTTTTATTGCACTGGCACAAATGGTTGTGCGAAGTTATGCGGAGTATGCATAATCAGACCTTAAGAAACGGGTAATTATTCCACATCACGATTGTTGTTTTTAGGTTTAAAGGGGCTGAAGAAAAACGTTGAGGGTTGTGATGGGTTTGTGCTCTGCGATGGTTGACAGTAAACTGGCATAATAGGCTGCGGTGCTTTCATTGCCTCTAAAAAGGCGCTCAACATTTTGTTGGTTTCTTCACGATCTTTTTCCATGATTTTTTGGGTCTCTTCGCGGTTCTTTTTGAGAATCTCCTCTTGCTTATACAAAAACGTCTCATCTTGGGTCTTCATATAATCCAATAAGTCTTCCAAGACATTTGGTGCTACATTCACACCACCTTGCATTTGTGGTTGCGTGTCTTCATCAGATAAAAATTCTGCCAACGAAGTGTCTAAGCCAGTTGATGTCACTGCCGGACGATGTCCGAGAATTTCGTCCAACAAAGTGAAATGTTCACTCGTTTGACGCTTAGCACCACTTTTATTATTATTTCGTTTAACTTTGTAGTAGTCCAATTTTAATGCTTGGAATTTGGTTCGAATTTGCGTTGCACTTGTTTGAATGCCTTTTGCTGCCATTTCTGTGGCCACATCCTCAAAAATGCTTTTGTTTCGTTTTGCTTTACTATCCATAAGTTTGAGAATGTGGTTTTCTCTTATGATAGACAACATTTGCTGCACTTCCCTGTCACTCCAAATATCCCTTTTTGATAATAGACATCGGAAATGTTTTTTATTAATTAAACTTCTTTCGACTTTGTCATAATTTTTTGAGTTGCAAATTAACTTAAAGGCTGCCAGTCAGTGTTCGGACCCCTCAAGCTCGATTCAGTAGTACATATGTATGTAATTCGAAAAATTAGAGCAAAACAAAATTTCCGTAGTAGAGTTGGATTTTTAATTTACGAATCAAACATTGTCAGTTTAACATGAACAATAATGAAAAAATAAAAGGAAAAATCTTTGAGAAACCTTTCATGGAAACTTTATCTGAGTTGTGTAAAATCACTTAGATGTATGAATATTATGTTACATATTTAGGTAAATATTCATAGGTATATATCTACCTAATTATTTAACATAAAATTCATACATCTAAGTGATTTCACACAACTCAGATAAAGTTTCCATGAGAGGTTTCTCCAAGCTTTTTCCTTATTAAGGTGAATGCCCCTCGTGAGTTGTTTCATGATTGTTCATGTAAAGCTCGTAAGCTTCCTTAATTTTGTATGGAAAATAGTTTCTTTACGAGATTTACGCGGTTACGATGAACTTACGCGTTCAATGGATAAACATATTATATTATATATTATTAAATAGAATTATAAAAAGATTATTAAATAGTGGGTTAACGTCAGTTAAAAGCGGGAGCAGGTATTCAGACAAGCAGAATAGAGGAGTAAATTTTAATAACGTTAAAAACCGGAGTGGATCTACTCCAAACGCAGGGAAGTCCGAATACTGCTACCAGCTGTTTCTAAATAGTGAAGTTCACAAAGTAGTGTTGCCAGGAGCCTGACAATAAGCGCTATTTTTTTCAAAAGTTATCTTCGATTCGTCATTCAAGCTTTAATGTATAAAAATGAAATGACATTACAAAAAAAATCAACAACACTGAGGGAAATAATACATAATGCATAATGCATAGTAAAAATGAATACTTTATATTTGATTATCGTTTAAAAATGTTCGTATTTAAAAATAATATTTTCATACAAAACTGTATTACGCACGTATTTGACTGTTCACATCTGAGTATGTATATATAAGTGTACATACACATCCGCAGCATGCACAGCGGTGACAACACACACATAAATACATAGTACACGCCCTGAAGGAAAGATTGATCCAATTGCTCGAAAAATATAGTTGTTGGTATAGTAGTTTTGTATCTAGACCAAAGATAGTCCAAAAATTTAAAGCAATGTAATGTAAAACAGGTGAATTGTACTAAAAGTGGTCCGAATATAATGCATAAGGTATGAGTTTTGATCTAGAATTGGTTAAAATGTCATGCAGTAGCGGACAACG